ATGTGGAGCCTGAAATCTGCTGTGGTTCACCTCAGAGAAACAGCCTGCAAACCAGAGTGAGGGGAACATGGAGAAAAACAGGGAGAAAGAGATACACAAAGGGAAAATACAGGATTTGTAGACAGACAGATCAGAGCATGTTTCCATTCTGCTATGGGATTTTTTACTTTCACTCCCTGCTTGTTTTCTGGTCCCATGTGAAAGAAACCCACGTTTGTTAGACCTCTACACACTCATGTTCACCCGCTTAACAGTTTGTTTTCACCTAAGTTTCATTTCTCTGTATTTTTGACCATGGCTTTCTGACGATTATAATTCCACATGTGGGTTATAATCTAACTGCTCTAATTTACTTTTAAAGCTGCCAGTCTTGCAATTAAATTTAAAACTGCTTCCGTGCAAGGCTGGGAAACACAGGCCAACATTATGAGCTAATTTTGTGGCTGCATCTCGTAGAGGAACCCTGTGTCCAATTCAATTATTTTTGTGCACACTAAGTGCATAGGTTCTAAGCTGTATTTAATCAAATTAGCACAAACTTAACACAAATTAAAAGGCATCCTGTGGAGTTTTGGCTGTTACTAGCATTATGGAACAATGTTTTCAGCAATGTGTTTGTTTGTGTTGAGCACAAATATAGGTCCCACATGCACTCAGGCAACGCAATACACACTCCTACTGATGGTATCGTGCTATCCCAGTAATTGACAGTTGGTGGTGGTAACACACAGAGAAGTTTTGTTTTACCAGGACAGAAATGCAGTCGGCAAGTTTGTTAGACTTTTGGAATACACAGAATTCTTTTGGTTAAATGCATTAAATGTAAAAATAACTTTTGTATGTTTACGAGAAAACTCCAGTGGGCACTTTTATCCCACATAACAAGCCTATTAAAAAACAAAACTCTGAAAAAGGGGCTGGAAGCCGATCTGCTCTTTCTCCGTAATTGAGAAAATTGACTGCACTTAGTTTAATTTTAGGTTAACCCTTTCTCCAGTGCTAATCCTGCTAGCCTGTGAAAGGGCAGTGTGTTTCAAGATGGCTAGTATTAGCATTATTAGGCTAACAGAAGAAAGAGAAGAATAGTCAAAAGGCGCCCTCTCATGACAATTGTCGCTCACAGATTATCACACTCTCTGTCTGTATGATCTGAGGCAGAAAAATAAACAAAATATTAAACCAAGGAACAAAAAATGAAATTATAAAGTGTTCTGCTATTTTCATTAAGTTTATAATGTTGAATATTTCTAGGTCACATCAATAGCTTGTTAGCTTGTAGGCTAACTGGCAGTGACTGACACAGCATTGTTTGTGAAACATACAATTATATGTGCAATGATGGGGTTTTTGATAGAGAGTGGAAGGAAACATCAGGGTCTTGGTTACGTTCAAAGACTGCATACTCTATCCCCGCTGTATTAGACAGAGACTGGCTTTCATATTAGCAACGTATCTAATGTCTAACATACATTTTGATTCTCAGATTTTAGGTAAGTGCACAGACATTGAGGAGGCAAAACACACTCTCCACCACAGGGCTGTAGGCTACATAGGAGTCCTAAAGTGTCGTCTTGTTGTGTTATTGGGAGCCAGAATAGAAGGAGTCATGGCTCAAAACTTAAATTTTATCACATACCAGCCACCACTACCTGTCAATAACAACAAAGACAACCATGGTTAAATGTGATAAGACGAAAGTACTGGATGGAGGCGATCATCAAAAATGCTCACATGTCAGGTTAGGGAACAAGTATTTACTGTTACCAATAAACATCATACTGTTTAATGGCAGTAAAAGGGTCTATAGTCAAGGTCAGACATTTTAGGGGACATAAACATAGTAAAACACATTTTGTGGGGGGGGGTACTTTAAGTATTATTCCAGAATAGGAGCACTGGTTGTACTTGATTAAATGGGAACCCTTTTTCATTTTGTGGCCCCCAAACAATTTTCCTGTGGGATGGAAAGGCACATATGGAACATGGGCAGAGCAGTAATTTTGCTTATTCCTTCAGAAGTATTTGAAATTTAAAGCTAACCAAAAGAATGCAATTTAATGTGTGTTCGGATCAAAGTTATATACCACAGCATACTGAAGTCTTAACACTTGCAGATGCTGGCGGATTGTTGACAAAAGCGGGAGAAGAAAACATAATGTGTTATGATATAATCAACCTGTGATTAGATTTCACACTGACGGACAGCTAATACAACCAATGCAGCTAATGAAAACACCGGCACTGGAGGGAAAGCAGTAGAATGAAAAGACTTAGACAACTATATGTGCGTCCTTACAAATCAAAAACACAGAAACCACGTATTGAATGTCATGCACGACAGCTGTAGTTCATAAAGCAACATTCACACATCACATATTGCTCTCGTGGTGGGGCATGGTTTAGGAGGCAGGATGTTGAGAGTTATTACCAAGTATAAAAAAAGAAAAGAAGAAAAGATGTGAGGGAGATGGATGGGAGATTAAGCTTGCGAGAACAACAGAGAAACCTTATAGTGTTTCAGATAAAGAATCAATTCAAAAGTTTAACTGCCGAAAAAAAAAATTGGAAAAATATGCAAAAAGCTTCCTCGAGCATTTACACAACACAGCGCTGCATTGTGCGGTTTTGGCTTGTCTGTGAAAGATTTCTTTCTGTGAAAGGCATAAGCTCTCCATTTATAGATGGATTCAATTGCTCATTAAAATCTGGAGCTCACTTGGTCTGACACATGAACACAGACAATCTTTTAGTCCAGTCTGTTGACAGTGGACGCTCTAGGGCATCAGAAGATGAGGATGAAGAAGAAGACAGAGAGAAGCAGGCAAAAGGGAGAAGATGAGAGAGCAACCAAGAAAAAAGAGCCCACATAAAAGTGACAAAAAGTGATCGGTCTGCACAAATTCAGAAATTGTCCTTCCTGCCTCCAGTCTGTCTTTGAACAGCAAGACTGACACAGTGTTTTTATGGAGCACTGGAGAAGTTACAATCTCTATGATAGCAGCCTTATAGTGGCATTTTTACACACAGAGAGAACCAGATGTGAAAACTGGAAGAGCTGAGAGAAGCCCCCCCCCCCCTCCCTTCGCCCCCTCTCTGACAGATGCCTGCCTGTTTCCATCTTTCCTGCAGCTTTCTGCCCATGCTGACTCAGCGTTAGAACTGAGAACACAAACAGGTTGAGATGCTGGTGGCAATTATCGCTTTCTACAATATCTTGGAGAGCACAAATCTGCAGAGAACTGATGAACGCATGACTCAAATTACAACACAATACAAAAGAGATGGTGCTGTATTTGAAAAAAAAAAAGAAAAAATACCGACCACACAGGAACACAAACGCACCACAATGCAACTCATCAGAAAGCCAAACAATGCAACTCAACCGCAGTCGTCGACCTGAGGTCAAACAAATAAGATTAAACTGCAAAATTACGCCCTGTGCATAAAGATGCCAGCATTGTAGTTTGAAAGAACAGACCACAACCAGTCCAGACCCAGCACCTTCCCTTCCAGTGAAGTTCAGGAGTCCCATGTGGCTCAAACTTAATAAAACAAACACAAGTCTGCTTGCTCAGCCTTGTTGTAACCAAAACATCAGACGGCAAACTAATTCTCGTGTCCAATTTAACTGGAAGAGCAAGCACAAGTCTGCAGTGGAGAGTGCTGAGCAAACCTAACAACTGCAGCTTTTATTTGAGGTACTCCTCTGCCAGGGCAGTCTATTTGTTATTGATACATTCGCCAGGAAAATTATTTTTCGTCACACATGATAACCATTGATTGAGTAGAAAAGCTTCAGTGACACTGGTTGATTTCACTTGAGTTTGGCTGCAAATGAACAGTTTCTAATGCAGAAAATAGAAAATAGAGTGATTCATTGTGTGAGTTTATTTCACCTCTCGTATGCAGTTTGACTCTTTTCTGTGGACGCAGTACATGTGTTTTCTCTTATGTTCAACCAACGTAATGATTACTTAAGCTGTAATTCAGATTCTAACTGTTCTTGAACTCTGCTTGCCATCTTTTGTTGGTTTGCGACTATGGCGTGGAGGAAAGATCACTTCAGCTACAGTTTGAAGCAGAGAAATACTCAGAAAAGTGGTATATTAAGATTGTCCTGTTTGTGACATCAACATGCCAATGTGCTGAAGAGCTATTGACTGGTTGTACACCTAGCACAACCAAAAATCCAAGTCTCTAGTTTTATATCATACCAGTTGAAGAATCAGGAAGTAAAAAGTGACTGGCAGCCAATAAAAGAGTTCACGTAAACACAGACAGGAGTGTCAACCAAAACAGACGCTGATCCTCCAAGTCAAATCACACTTAATGTGGTGTGGTGAACAGGTGAGAAGAATAGACAGATCTCCAACTAATATGTCATATAATAATGGCATAATAGTTATAATCCAATTCTGTGTTTGGTCTTCCATTTTGATGGTCATTATCGGCCCACGTTTGTCCAGTTTAAAGTACTTTACTAATATTTTTAGGCTAGCACAAAGGTAGCGTTACCCAACCTGCTCTCACTTCCATCTCATCAAATAATGACATTAGATCAGTAGCCCTTAGGGCCAGATACCCACACACCGAGGCATCCTTAAGTGGCAGTATGAGACGCATCATGTCGCTGCATTTTTTTGATGCTCTGAGCAACTGCCATTTAGTAAAGAGCGAAGGTCTACATAGGGTGAGTGGGAGTCGAGGTGGGTGGGTCAAACAAACTCTGGACTTTCACCCAGGAGAACGCTGTTTGTCTGTGATTAGGTGAGTGTGGCATAGTGAAAAATGTTTTGAGTGGTCAGAAGACTAGAAAGGCGCTGTACAAGTGCAGTCCATTTGTGAAATTAACCGGAAAGGATGAGAAAGCGCAGCTCACTCAAGAACTTGCAGTGTACAGACCAAAGAATGCACACCCCCTTTCCCCAAACAAAGATGGATGGCGCTGATCATCACGTCACCTTGACTTCTGTAAGAGATAGAGAACTTGACAGTCTCACCTTTACTGCTGCAGTCCAGCAGAGGTTTTGGGAACATGTAGGTGTGGCACATGGACGTGGCCTCTGGCTTCTTGATGGGTGGAGGTGGCCCCCCACCTCGGTCCCCCCCCGGCCTCCTGTCCACCTGGTTGTCACCCGCACACAACAAGTCCACATTCAGCTTCCTTAGCTTCTGGCCCCTCAGCGACTGGGGCTCCGCGCACTTGCCGTAGTTGCCCAGGTTGCGGTTGCTAGGCACCTGCAGGGTCCTGATCAGGCTGTCCAATTGGCAGTGGCAGCTCCAGGGGTTGTCATAGAGACGGAGGTAGGTGAGGCGGGGCATAGGGAGCAGGACCTCCTCGGTGGCTGTTTTCAATCTGTTGTGCTGGAGGAGCAGGGTGGTGAGCTGGGAGAGGCCGCTGAATGCTCCATCCTCCACCATGGAGATGTCGTTCTGCTGGAGGTCCAGGCTCTTTAGCTGGGTGAACTGGGAGAACATGTTGTCCCTCAGAACCTAAGGGGAAGATGTGAACTGTTAGTTTTTGCATATATAAAGCTGTTTACTTAAAGAAGTACTTCACTGCTGGAAAGATGGTCTTTATCAGTTGTAACACGATAAAATTAGTTTCAAGTTGGATATCTGACAGACATTTATTCCAAACCCAGCAGCAGCTTCTCAGTTTCGGTTTCACCCAACATTGGCAGTAGGAGGATGGTAAGCTCACCTACCAGTCCTCCCGTTTACTGCTGGAGTATGACGGTGGGGCGTCTGCATGACCTCAGCTGTCCGCAGACATTCAATGCTGGAAGTATGTCTGGCACCTTTAGTTACTGTTTCATTTTAAGTTCTTGAGTCTTACCTTTACAATACAGGAAACAGTATAGTGCCCACTTCCTGTTCACAAATTCTCATATAACAGCCAAACAGTGCACTAAAATATGTCTCTAAGGTCATTTTAGGTGAGAAATAGACAAAACAGTAACAGAATCTTGGCTTGTATTTGATCGAATGGTAAAACTAGAAAGTGCTAATCAGAGTTTGGTCTGCGTTTGAGAGAGAGAGACAGAGGGGTGGGTCTCTCCCTCTCTCTCAATCTGCCTCTATACTCTTTGTGTCTGCAGTGGAGGGACAATGTGTAGTTTGAGCAACAGCCGAGGGCAAGCGAAAATCCGTTTAATGAGTTTCACTGGGAGATGAGCAGGAAGATCTGGGCACTGGTAAGATGCAGGGAAGTTTACTACAGTTCATTTACACGTACGACCCACATTGTGATGATACAAAGCTGGCTGATAATCAGAAAAGTATCCCTTTTGAAATGATGTTCATCTCAAGCAAATGCCGACTGAGCTTTGTCAGACTCATGGACAGTCTATATCAGACAATATTTGCCCGTCTGTTCTCATTCCCCGGTCATCTAATACCAACACTTTGTTAAACCACTCAGCATGTGATATGGACGCTGAAGGCACCCTTTGGCATCTCTATGAGGCACCAGGCTTTCAGCTGACTCCAATGTAAACCCATCGAAAGTATAGAGTAAAAGAGTCAGCATAGGCATGGATCGGTCAAAGAAAGACAGACTTTCACCCAGGAGACCGCTGTTTGTGTCCCGTGTGAAATGAAAAGTCAGTGTTGTTTTGTACGTACCATTACGTAACTTACATCACTTACTTTAAGCCCAAAAGATGATGTCAAAACAATGATTATTTACGTATTTTCATGTTAAAATATTCACAGCAGCACTGTTATAAACAGTTAAATCATTTGCTGGATCTGCCTCAGTAATTCTCACACACATTTACCTCAGTCTCAGTCCGTCTAGCCTCTCATTGGTTAGTTAAGAGACATGTGACCCATAACAAGGAAGGGTAACCAGGAAATGTTGTTGTGAGGCTGCTGAAGTGTGGAGAAAAGTAAAGTGATGCTTAGGAGTGACCCAACCACCACACACCGAACCCTCACGTTGCACAGTTGAGCATCAGATATAGACACTAAAGGGTCTTTGTCATAGACACGCCAAAGGGTGCCTTCAGTGTTTGCGTCCAGAAAGCATCGGTATTGGACCACCTGGGATGAAAACATGTTGGAAAACATCTGGAAAAATGGCTCATGACAGCAGTGAGAACCAAAACATTAAAAGATGGAGTTCACTGAAACACTTGGATGATCTCTATGCATCACTTTTTTAAATGTGCTATATTTCTAAGCAAAATCCAGCAGGGCTACAGGTGCAGCTAAAAATAAAGTAAATCCACTTTATTCATTCTTTCCCTCACTACTCACTCATTCAACAACCCTACTCATTGAACTTGAAAATAAAGCTTAATTATAGTCATTTTTCACCGATTCATCAGTGTTTTTGTAAGCCATTCGTCTTTATTTATTACCTTGCTGGCAAAGTGTTTTGTTTTGTTCCTCTCAACACCTGTGACACACACATCCTGTGTGCTCACTCATGCATAAACCTACACACACACATACGTAGCAGGAAAATCACTCTTTGATCTCAGCTCCAAATAAATGGTGCACAGATGCTCATGGTATCAACAAGATGGCTGAGTTTAGAGTCAGGGTAAGAGGCTTGAGCACAGAATACTTACAAACTGTACTCCACATTCTCAGGATTTGTTAATTGCTGTTGGTTGTGTTTAATAACTGGACTGTAGCAGGTGGTCTGTGTCTTGCCTTTTTATATTTGAACCATAAATAGTATAGGCGTACCTGGATCTTATTTCTTGCCAGCAGCAGGTGGTGAATATCTTTGGGCCAGTCCTGCATCACGGTGGTCAGCTGCCTGTCCTGGCAGTCCAGGTACTTCTCTCCTGCCTCCATGTATTCCTTACACTCTTGAGTTTGACGTCTCATCACTCCGGCCCTGCCTCTGCCCCGTACACGGCCCCCAGCGCCCCTCTCCAAAGCCCCCGACCGAGGGCCTCTCCGGGGCTCAGCTGACCGGAGGAGCAGTAAGAGGAGGAGGGTGGTGAGGAGACGCATGATGGGAGAGGAGAGGAGAGGAGAGGAGAGGAGAGGAGAGGAAGGGAGGCCTCTCTGTAATCAGGTCAACCTTGGAAGACTGTTGTCGGATGATTGGTGTGACGGGACACGGGAGGCCGGTCACAGCTGTGTGTATAAAGAGACAAACAGACGGAGAGTGAGAGGTGACTTTTTAAAGGTCTTCAATGGCCAGTTCACACAAATGCTTTAGCCATTTAGCTGACACTTAAATCATTGTTAGTAATTTGTAGGACAGTTTACAGGCTCTTGCTATCAGCAAATGAAACATTATTTCAATGAGACCATTGCAAGGATGTAAAACAAATTATGTCTTTAGAGGTTCATTATTTGCATTTGATGACTTGAATGTTGATTAGACAGTAATATAAATGTACTTAGAGGTGCACAAAGTCCATTGACCGTGGATTCAAACTGTTGCTGATGGCAGCTGTATTAGTCCTGACACCCAAATTTGACAGTGAACACTTAACTGAGTGAAGTTAACCTTTGTTCTTTCTCTTTATGTGATGTGAGTCAAACGCCACCCAAAGTACTATGGGATAGCAGGCAATGCTGGACTGACCGGCAACACAAAAGCAAAGGCAGGTGTCAGAAGTTAAAAATGTTTAATTAGGGTGAATGACAGCTAGAATTTGTCTGAAAGCTCTGTTGTGACTACACACATATTGATGAATGCATGTAGCTGTCGTTTATGGAATTTTTTTTTTTAAAATGTCCCTTGCCTACAAATATTGAGCATAGTGTTAGTTCAGGCAGGACATGATGTCAAGCTCAGCCCAGTCAACTGATGGAGCAGCTGATTGATGGAAGGGAGTCAGCTGATAGATCACGTGATTTCTTTCTATGCAACCACTTGGCAACTCTCAGTGCCCTATTTAAACTGCTTTGTCCTGCCTACTGTCGCTGCTTCCCCTGCAAGCTGCTTTGCAACCTGTCTCCACCCCAGCTCCTCCTTTTTTCATGCTGTGTCTGACTTCTCAGTGTAATTTCTGTTTGCCATTTATGCTGCTCTGTTCTGTTCCCAGGGGGTCTTTGCTGATGCTCTCCCTGCCATAGGCTTTCCATGTAGGCGCATGGAAGGGCAGGGAGGTTTGTTCTCTTTGCCATAGGCTTTCTATGTAGGTGCATGGAAGGGCAGAGAGGTTTTTGCTCTCTTTGCCTTAGGCCTCTATGAAGGCATGTGGAAGGGCAGAGAGGTGTGCTCTCTCCACATTAGGCTTTCTGCATAGGCCAAGGAAAGGCAGAGAGGCCCCAGAACAGAGCCTTGCCGCCAAATATAATACCGCAAATGGAAATAAAGTTTTCTTTGACGGAAGTGGTCCTGACTGAATTATGGATACAAAGAAGAGACAGAGGCTGTTTGGCTCAAAGTCACATAAATTCTTTGAGATAGCTGCTTATTTACACAAAGCTTGCTCAGAGGCAACCGATGAACTAGCCTGCAAGCGTTGATACAGAGGCAAAGTTGCACAACAAATTTATCAGCCACTATCAGTTAGTAGTACAAGGGTCGAAGCCAGAGGTGCACTGTCTGGAGAAGCAAAACAAATGTTGGTGCCCCCCCCCCCCCCCCCCCCCCCAAACAAAAAAAAAAAAAAAAAAAAAATTTGAGAAAAGGGGGCCCCTGATGGCCACTCACAAAGGCACATTTTAAAGTGACAGCTGTAAACCCTCAATCGGGGCCTGGATGGGCTTCTTTTCCAGGCCCCCCCCCAAGTCTAGGCTCACCACTGGTTAAAGCAACAGTGCACATGTAACAAAATGTTAAAATATGTCTACATGTTTTCACACAACATGTAGACATGAAAGTGTAATAGAAAAGTAAAGGGCACCAAATATTCCGATTGGTCAATTGGTGCGAAAAAGTCCAAAAGAAGCAAAATGATTCTATTCACACATACAATAAATTGCACAGGGATTTGTCTCAATGGCATGTCGAGACATGCTGACAACCAAAATGGTAGGACATGTTGAAAGAATTAGTGGCGAGGTAGGGTAAGAGGAAACAGGAAAAGGGGTTTGAAGGCAAAGAAAGAGACATTTGTTATGTGTTAACATGTTATGGGTTAAAATGTGGTCAAATTAAAGAGTTGTTTTCTTTCAGGGATATCCCATGAATGTTTTCAACCTTCAGCTCCAAACCGGATGTTTCTCTTCATCTCCTCTTTTTTTTTTTAAAAAAAAAACAAAACATTCCTTTATTCCCTACTTTTTGTGCCTCGTGCCCCACCTCTGAGTCCATCTCTCTCTCTGTTCTCATTTTGGTGCCTGCATATTGACGACTTCCATCCACTTACAGGATGTTTATCCCTTGCAAAATACATCTGTTGCATTGATATATAAAACGTGTCAGACCCATATGTGCTTTTATCTGAATTGAAACAGGCCCACACAGTGTGTTCCAAAAACAATCATATGAGTGTCATCTGATCTACCAACTGTAGGCATAGAAAAACAGCTTAGTCAAAGGAACAGTCTGACATTATGCAGTCTTAAGGCCCAGACACACCAAACCGACATCTAAGGGCAACAGTTGCGTTGCCTATCGGCGCATGTGTCTCAACCAAAAAGTTGCACTGAACACACCACAAAGATGACAGCAACAACCAACTAGCATGTAAATTCTGCACCAGAATGAGAGGAAATAACCAGTGGTAGTCTGTATTTGTCAGTCAAAAAAACAGAAGACCAACAGGAGGGATTCAAGATGCTAGTTAGCGAGTTAGCACATAAACAACAGAACCTGATGTTGAAAGAACAAATGATATGCTAACAAACAATGACACAAACAATTATGACCAGTTTGTGTTAAAGAGCTCAATGCTACGAAAGTATTTCCTAATATACAGTATCAAGTTTGTTTCGATTTCACGCCCTCTTGACTTTAGCCATTTGTTTGTTTCATCACTTCCACTTTCAGAGAGAAATCAGCCGTGAAAAAAAGCCAGCAAGGACCAACTAGTGCCAATGGTGCAGGACACACGGCGCGACATTGACCAACGGCTGTCCATCCGCTTAGTGTGCAAGGGCCCTCATTGTCAACCTTGAGTTTGCCAGGAAACCAGCGCAGACTCCAAGAACTTACTGCACTTGGCACTTACTGCTTCCAGTATCCATCTTCTACTTTTGTGTGGATTAAATAAAGCAGATATATTGTGATAATTAGTGAGATTTAGAGGTGCTGGTCGGTGGATTCTGTTACCTTTGGACAGAGTCAGGTTAGCTGTTTCTAGCCTGGTATTCCCAAGACCAGAGTCTGGAACCTAAGGGTTGTTATTAACGGCCATAGACCAAAATGCCTTTGGGTGCAACTGGGTCGACCTACAAACAATTTGAGCAATAAAACGTGACTGAGAGACAGACCAATGCAAACAGACAACAGCATGCAGAGATGAGCTGTGATGGTATAGCATCAATATGTCTCTGAAAGTTCCACATCAGCCGCAGCCATCTTGGTTGTTTTCCTCTCAAATACCCCCCATTGACCACATAATCAATTGTGATTGGCTCAATAAGAGCCTGGTCGACTGGAAATCTGCCTGAATAGGAGGGGGACCAGATGCATCTGCCAGGGCAAATAAAACATTGGCTCGCAGATTCGTCTGGTTCCAAGGCTGAGCTATGTCCCCCATTTGTATGAATTTATATTTACAGATCAGTGTGGGGTCTTGGGAAATACATTTATCTGATACTTTCATGTTGGTATTGGGGGGGAGTTAGGGTCCAAACGTATGGCCTGATAAGTCTTACTGCTGCAACATTCAGATAGCAGGGTCAGAATCTGGTGTATGCAACATGAAAGCATGGATCCATCCTGCCTTGTATCAATGGTTCAGGCTGGTGGTGATGGTGTAATGGTGTGGGGGATATTTTCTATGCACACTTTGGGCCCCTTAGTACCAACTGAGCATCATTTAAACACCACAGCCTACCTCAGTATTGTTGCTGACTGTGTCTATCCCTTTATCCCATCTTCTGATGGCTACTTCCAGCAGGATAACGCACCATGTCACAAAGCTCAGATCATCTCAAACTGGTTTCTTGAACATGACAATGAGTTCACTGTACTCCAATGGCCTCAACAGTCACCAGATCTCAATCCAATAGAGCACCTTTGGGATGTGGTGGAACAGGAGATTCACATCATGGATGTGCAGCCGACAAATATGCAGCAACTGTATGATGCTATCATGTCAATATGGACCAAAATCTGTGAGGAGTGTTTCCGGCACCTTGTTGAGTCTATGACTCCAAGAATTAAAAGGGGGTCCAACCCAGTAGCAGCAAGCTGCACCTAATAAAGTGGTTTCTCACTGGATTAAACGACAGAGATGTAATGTGTTAATTAGAGTTTCTGGTAGGCGTTAGATTATGTTACTGCTCAACAAAGCCGGGCCAACTGTTTCCCAGTTCCAGTATTTATGCTAAGCAAAGTTAAGCAGTTGCTGGTAGTAGCTTCTATTCAACAAATAATAGTGCAATCAATCATCTCATCTAACCCTCTGCCAGAAAGCGAATAAGTGATTTTCCCAAAATGTCAAACTATTTCTTTAAACTATTTCTTTAAAACCACTGTCTGACTACTCTTTGACTCCCTGCCTTTGTGTTTTTTTTTTCTCTTTTCCTTGCAGCCCTGCCGTCTTACCAAATGTTCTGCCAAACTGTGAAACTATCATCAGCCACAAAAATGAAAACTCCAAGACCAGAGATATTAATATTTATGGCTTAATAATAATGCTGATTGTCTTTTCTGTTGCTACATAGCCACTTGTTTTAGACTCCCTGCCTGCTGACTGTGTGAATATATGTGTGCGCGTGTTTTATGAAAAAAACAAAGTGAGTCATGGGTCCCTTGTGTGATCAGAGGCAAAAAGGCAAGACCCTCAAGTCTGCCAAGACACCCCGCACACACGCACACACACACACACACACTTGTGTACACGCTGACTCAGTCCAACTGTACCAAACCGCAGCCCCCTTCCAGTCTTCCAGTCTCTCACACAGTGGAACAAGCCCGTCAATGCAGATGGTGTCGTTCCATTGTGAATAACAGACTGGGCATGTAAGCTAGCTACAGACAGAAACAGCTGAGAATGTACCAGGGA